CAATGGTGATAATATTCGAGTACTTTGATGGCTGCTGAAGCCATGGAGTTGCAATGCCCACGTAGAAGTAKAATGTAGCAGGGTAGGCAGTATTTGGCCGCGGAACGCCGTGGTCGGATAGAATGTGGATACTCATGGCACGAAATGTTATGTCCATCGCTATCATCATCACTTGGATTCAGTGTTATGAATCTTGGTCAGTGTGACATTGGTGCATTGCTGCTTGTAAAATTCAGTATGACTTCAGACCATAAATGTGGAAATCATATTTTCGGTTCTGTGAATTGGCAGTCGATGAAATGCCAGTCACTTTCTATTTCCGCTGCAATACTGTTACGTAGCATTGTTCTCATCGTAAGTGTTCATGCTTCGGTACAGCAAAGGATGTATGCCATGTCGTCTCAAAGTGCTGGAGGTGGTCTCCCCGGCACCCTTCGAATTTTGTTCGAATTGCTTTTATTGAATTCTTCACAAGTAATGTCTTTTTTGTGTGTGGTTTTCCTTGCCGTGAACGGGGGGGGGGGGGGGGGGGGGGGGGGGGGGGGGGGGGTTGCAATTGTTGTTCAGATTAATGCGTGCAGACATGGTGGCTCCATGATGGAACAAATGGTCACATGTTCATCCATCTTTTGCTTGGGGTACACTTGAAAGTGTGACTGTGGCCCAGGGAGAGTAGGGGCAGCTGTATTCGCGAATACTTCACTGTTGATATCTTCAGTTTGGGAGTTGACGTGGGTGTGACATTATTCTTGGGTCACATCATGCATCAGTTTCATTGGTTAAAAGTATTGGTAATCAATTTCTGGTTCTGTGTGGTGATCATCCATAAACGATGTTGGGTATGTCTTGCAGTGGCTGTCGTCGTGGACTGCAGATTGTTAATCCGTATCTTTTTTTGCCCTGTTCCCTTTTTTTGTCTTGGCACGGGCGTGTCCTCTCTGAGTTTACATGTTCATTAACTTCATTTATTATTCTAATTCATTGTTCATAAGGGGAGTAGAACATGATGTTAGGATTTGATGGCTGGTGCGAGGAGGAGATGACATTCATTGTCTTTGTGTATTTCTTTCATGTCTTGTTCTTTCCTTCTCCATTCTCTTCCTTTCTTACTGTGACCTCCACTTCTTCTTGAGTTGTGACATCTTGCATTGCCTCAGACTTGAGTTTTGCATTGTGAGTTGAGCAGGAGAACAACAGAGGCCATTTATCCCATTTGGCAATACTTTCCTGCTGTCACCCCAGCGGGAGATAACACAAACTTTCTCCTGGCCTGGGAAATAAAGTGATGATATCAGATATCATGGATTAGTCATAATAGTTGTTGGCTATTTTCAGGTGTTTCCGCCAAGGTTCAGAGCGATGGATGAGCAGGACATATCCCAGTGTGGGATCAGGGGCAGGGTGCTACGAAAGGAGGTGTGTTCATGACAACAGTTCAGGGTCATACCAGCTTCATGTGGCTGTTGAGCCAGGTGTTTGGGTGCCATGCATTGATAATGAGATGGTGCCGCTTCCCTCTCAGTACTTCTATAGCGGCAGTCTTGGGCCTTGCCCAGTTGCGAAGGACTACTGCCTTCAGAATAACTGCCTAAATGATTGCTCTGGCAACGGTGAGTAGCAGCAGACACTGAAGTCCCATCGCTTATGTTCCTTCGCCATGGTTCCACAATGTATGCTGTGGAGGAGCTATTGGTACCGTGGTTCTCTTGCCTCGAACACCTTGAGATTTTGCTGATGGGGAAGATCTTATCCATCATTGTTCACGGCCGTTGCCCTCTGGTTCGACTGATCAATTGTTATGCTAGCCTGCCAGTCTGGCTGCCCAGACTGGATCTTGCTGCCTGTGTGATAACCAACCACGGTGGGGTTGGCTGGGTGAGGTTCAGGTGGACTTCCGGGCAGTCTAAGCACAACAATAAAATGAATGATAAAACAAAACAAAAATCTCTGATGCGACTGAACCAAATCGGAGTGTCAGTGCGTGAAATTTTGAGTGTGCCAACTTTGGTGGTGGTTGAGACCGTGTTTGACAGAAATTTGGAAATAATCAGGGATGTAGATTGAGTGCCGATCTGTTTGGGAATTTCAAAATCTGTGCGTGGGTTCAAACCAGAGCTGGGCCGGCTTGGCCCAAAACATTCCTTTTTTTGGGGGGGGACTGCGGGGTCCGACTGCGCTTGTCGAGAACAGTCAGAATCCGCAATAAAGATTTTAAATTAGCAACTTTCTTTTGGGGGGTTGGGACCCGCGGGGGAGGGGAGGGGGGGAGGGGGAGGGGGGCAGGGGAGATGTAGGTTTGTGTAGGTCCCCTTTGGACCGGGCAGGGCAGCGCACAATCTGCAGCAAGGAATGCAGAGGTAATGCTGAGGGGTCGAGCATACAAGCGTACTTGTCTGACCCCTTCGTCGCCCAAAACTTTTAATTTAGCATCGTGTGATCTCATGGACCACAGAACGAGATGTGAAATACTCGAGAGGCCGAATTAAATATGTTTTCACGAGTGCTTCGCCATAGTTTATACACTTCTTCCAGACCACCACGCTGTGCAAGAAAGTTATGGGTTCATGTTTCAGCCTGTGTGGTCTTTTCCGATGTACGGTGGGTCATATCGTGCACTGATTGTGCTGTCCGTTTGCTTTTTCCACCTTTTTCCGATGTACAGTGGGTCATCAGTCCGAAAGCATCTCGCCTGATTGTCTGTCCAGATACATGTAGTGGGGTGAGGTGCATGCTTGGGCTTGCACCTCGATGGTGTCCTGACTTCATGAGCCGAAACCCTAACCCATAACTCTTTTGTCAGAGGGCACGGACGTGGGAGAACCATATAATCTCGGCAAAGCCCTCACAGACACATATTGTTGTCAACCTTTGGGCTCAGACAGGTCGACTGTCTGGAATGGTCAAGACAGGTCTCAGCTGTCTGGAGTGGTCAGTGCGATCTGGTCTGTTGTCCATCGTACCACAATATACTAAATCAACTCCTCTGTGTGAGTTGAAAAATAACAGCTGCCCTCTATAAAATCCGAAGATCTGTAGAGGGGGTCTACTTCCCCTCTCTAGTTTTCTTCCTGCAGCGGTGGCCTCCAGAAGGCCGTGGGAGGAAGCCAGGCCGCTTTTCTGCCCGAACGTTAGCTCCAGCTGAAATGCGCCGGGGGTGACCGGGAGCCGCCCGGGAAAGATGTCGGAGTGGTTGATGGTGTACTACTGGGAATGCTATGTAAACTTTAGTTCACCAAGGGTTCAAGTCCCTCTCTTTCCGTATTTTCTATCGCTCTTAAAAAGATGTAAAAAAATGATATTGATTTTGGATGAGCATCTATCTATTCATATTAATATGAGTGGATAGATGTATTAATATAAGTAGATATAGAATATTATAAGTTGATATATACAAATTTAAAAATATAATTTACTTATTTTTATATATAAAATTTGATCGAATGTTGTTTTTTTGATATTATACTTGATGAGAATAATACTCTACTACTCAGGGTTGCCGGCGTTCGGGACGGGCCGAACGCCCGAACCCGAACGCCCGAACGTTCGGCACCCCCTCTCAACGCGTTCGGCCGTTCGGCAGAACGCGGATCCAAAAAAAAAAAAAAAAAAAAAAAAGAATNAAAAAATCTGAAAAAACTATATGTTATGCAGAAGAATAAACTAAACAACATTTGCCTCAACGTTATATCCAAATTATTTACGAAATTTGAAATAAAAAATCAAATACTAAAAATAATAATAATGAAAATTAGAAAAAATAAAACGATAATTAAATTATTGAGTGGGCGAGCACATTTTTGACACCGCCATCTTTGGCGATTTTTCATTTTTTTTTGGCTGTGACAAATGCCATGAAAATTTTATATGTGTATCTTACATAATAGAGAATCTACAAATAAAGTTTGAAAAAATAATAAATTGTTTTATGCCCCGAAATAAAGGAAAAACAAAAAGTGAAAAGAGAGAAAAAACAAATTTGTGAGTGGGCAAGCAAGCTTTGACACCACCACCTTTGAGGATTTTTCATTTTTGTTTGGCTGAACCGAATGACTTCAAAATTAAGAGGGAGATACCTTACATCACAAAGAACTCACAAAAAAAAATTCAGAAAAATATTTTTTTGCGGGGTTCGAACCCCTTCAAGTTCGGGCCCCGTACGGGGACCCGAACGCCCGAACGTTCGGGGGTCAGCTTAGGGGCCTCCGTACGTTCGGGCTGGCAACCCTGCTACTACTAATAATTCATTTATCTTAGCTCCAATAAATTCTCGATCTACTATTCGATGGACCAAACCTTCCTTTTTTGTAGGATTCAAGGTCAAGTGACTTGGAACTTTCAATGAAGGAGATTGAGTGAAATTGGCAAAAATATTTGTTTTAGATTCGAAACGTTTGTGGATTGATGTTTTATCTCCTAATTTACAAGAATAAGTAGGTATATTTACTGTAAAGTCATTGACTAGAATATGGCGGTGATTAACCAGTTGACGTGGCCGACCGCCAGGTCCAACCGGGAGGCTCCTGGTCGGGGTAGGGGTCCCCGGTCCGTCCAGGGACCATCACTGGTTCAAACCCCAGCAGCAACCTCAGCCTTCGCAAAATGTATATAAGCGTGTGTTAGTGCGTGAAGTTTTGAGTGCGCCAACTTTGGTGGTTGTTGAGATATCGTGTTTGACAAGGATTCTGAAAATAATCAGGGATGTAGTAGTCCGACGTACATTGAGTGCTGGTCTGTTTGGGAAACATATTTGAAAGAAAAATCTGGATGGTCCAAAAACGTTTTGAGTATGCATAGTCTTTCTCTGTGCTGGTCTTAGCAGACGCTAAACTTTTTGGCTCAGTGTTCCGTGCTAAGGTTCATTGAAATAGCCTCAGTGGCAATGGTGGGGTGATTAGTTTATTTAGCCCCGGTCCCTAAAAGGTGGACAAGATCCTAAACTGGCCGGTGCCACTCAAAACAGTTGGAGGTGCGGAGCTTTCCTACGGGTCTGTGGATTAATCGTCTTCTGCTTGTCAGGGTGTGCAAATTGTATGCTGTCATGTTTGCCCATTCACATTTTGCCCCCTGCCTCGCAAGAAGAAACAGCAATCTCATATAAAGTGCTTGCCACTTGTGAGTATGCAAGACAGTCTTAGTCTCTTTGTCAGCTGCATCTCCTTATGACATGTGTTGTGTCTCAAACGTCGACAGGACATTGCTTCAATGGAACTTGCTATTGTTTCCCAAGCTATGGAGACTATGATTGCTCTAAGGTGAGGTTAATTGCCTATACCAATCTCTACTTGAGTTGGCTGTGAAACGAGGCACAGTACAAGTTCCGTCTTCTCCTAAATAAGTTGCCCCTTGTATCTGTAGTTGGGAACAACTGCCCGAATGGGAACCAATGTTGTGAAGATAGCGCAAAAGGTCTGTTGTGGAGATGACTTGCAGTTCAATCTAGCTATCATGCACCATCCAGTAAGCACTGGAGCCTAAAGTATATCAGAGAGAGAGAGAGAGTAGCGATTATCCATGTGAGACGAGGTTCAAGGGCGGTAAAAGACATAATAAAATAATAATTTGGGCTACGAACCGGGCCGCCCGCATCACTTTAGTCACTTGTATCTATAGTAAGAACCGGGTCTATGAACCAGGGTGCCCGGCTGGAAAAGAGCCCGGGAAGACACTGCAAAAAAAAAAAGAAAAAAAAGAAAATTTAAAATCTGAAAAAAACGTCCAGCAAACGCGCCGTCTGTAAGCGCGCAACATTACACCGCGCTATTGTGCACCAGCGCTAGCGCCCGCAAGCGGGCCATTGGAAGGTGGACCTATGCAATTCGCACGCTAGCTTTCCCTCCCACGTGGTTCTCGCCACACCTGCTCAGTTTGAACCTCGAACTGATAGTGGGCCATGTCATCGCCCATGACAAAAAGCCCATGAAGACGAGAAAAGCTGCCCCCGAAGCGAAGCCATGCCATGAAGATGAGGAAAGCCGTCTTTCGAAGAGAAGCCGCCCCGTGCAGAAGAGATGAGCTGCCCTCCACAGGGAAGCCGCCCAGGCAAGTGATCAATCACCCCAGTGCCCTATTAGGGGCGAGTAGTCTCCTGATTGAGGAGCACCATCGACCCGGCAGCACAACGAAGCTGGCATCCCGCGCGTCCCTGGTGGGAACATAGGATGACCGACCCCGCATAGTGCTGCCCAATCCACATCGTGCATAGTCCTGCCCAACCGACATGCTATCACCCACCTCATGTGGTATATCCCGACCCCACATGGTATTGTCCAGGCCACATAATACCACAGCCCACATAACGGCGCCTGGCTGTGCCAAGGGCCGAAGTATGCCTGATGTTGGCCATCTTTTTTGTTTGTTTTTTGGTGGGGGGGGGTGGTGGTCTTTCCTAGGTTGTTTCTCTTGACCGGCCGGAGGGTCCGACGCCCGGGGTGCCCGGGCGTGGGAGTAAGTGGGTTCAAAATTTTTATTTTTATTTTTGGGCAGGGGTTTTCCAGGCATGCCCAGAGGAGCCCAAATCCAGTCTCTTTTTTTTTGTCAAGTGTTGGCTGTTAAGGGGGAAGGAAGGGGGGTATAAGTTGGTTTTAAAGGGGCTAAGGGGGTCTAAAAAGGGGGTTCCTTAGTCTGATTCTGTTATTTTTCTTTTTCATCTACCATTCAGTGAGGAATTATGATGACGCCCTCTGCCAAAAGTCATTTGCATTGCAGTTCTAGGCAACGTTTTTCCTTTCCGGAAGGTCCTGAATTTGTTTTTCCTTTTTTTGAGCTGGGCTGCCTGGAATACTGGGGGTGATGCCCAGCCGGGCACCTGTGTGTTCGGGCACAACTTGGGTGCCTGGGCCATGTCGGTCTTCTTTTTGTATTTCTGGGTTGGTTTGTGTGTTAATACCATCCAGTCCACATAGCATGACCCGCCCCACATGGTGATACCCTGTCCAATGGTACCATCCAACTCGTGTAGCATGGTACCGTAGCTGTGCCAAGGGCGGAGTTGTACCTAAGTGTGTGTGTGTTTTGTTTCTGGTGGCTGTCTGTGTGTGTGCTTTATCGCTGTGTTTGTTTGTACCATCCAGTCCACACAGTATGACCCTCCCTGCAAAGACAAACAAACAGAAACATGTGTGGATCCCATCCTTCCTCCTGCTGTGGCAATGTTGTGGTGCGCCTTGGCTTGTCTCTACCTCTATCATCCTAAAGTGAAAAGTGATCCTCGCCTCGTGCAAATCGCGGTCCCCGCAGAAACCAGGCGGTGGGAGTGGAACTGCCTGGGTCTGTGCGGTGTGTGGGGAGGACCACGTGTCATGTTGGAATACAAGTACATAGCAGCAGCAGGTAGTTTCGTTCCTGTTTTTTTTTGTTGCTTCGTTCAGGGTAGTTTTGGCGTCTACCGCCGATGCCTACTGTAGGCGGTAGCAGTCGGGCCGACCCATAGGCGGACCCGTCGGTGGTTGGCCGACTGCCTTGGAATTGTTTTATTTTTTTTTGTGATTACATGGTCGCGCGCGGCTTGAGGAGAGCAGCCCAAATATGCCATAAACTTTTTTTGGGTTGGTGGGGGTTATAAGGGGAGGTTTAGGGGGCTTATAGGGGGGTTGTAGGGGGTTAAGGGTGTGGTATGGGGGTGTTGGGGGAGGGGGCTATGGGGGTGTTGATGGGGTTATTTGGGGTTCTGGACCGCCCCCCCCCCAAAAAAAAAAAAATTAAATGGCGGGGTGCCGACCGACCCCCAACCGGTAAGTGGCGACCAGTCCAACGGTGGGCTGGTCGGCCCCCGACCAATCCAGAGGCGCCGACTGTCGGCGTGATGACTATGGCTTCACCGTCTCATGGGACCCTGTGCACAGCCGGCAGATGTGTCATTTCTTTTTTTTCTTTTTCACAGGGGTGTGGCGTATTCAGGGAGTTCCTTTTCTTTTTCGTGAGTCGTGTTGTTTCTCATTCGTGGAGTCTCTTATTTTGACTTGGCACTATCTTTACGAATGTGGCCGCATGTCCGTCCATATACGTGAAGAGGTCCTGAAGAAAAGAATCATCGTTGAACGAACGACTCCGGGCATAGGGCCTCAACACATCACTCACCAAATGTGCAAAATGAGAACGAATTTTCTTCTAGAACATGGAAAGATACACGCACCACATTTTTGTCCATTTCACATTTGGTGAGTGGGGCAGCGAGGCCTGTACTCCTGCGGAGCTCGAATCTGGACGTGTCCACGACGAGTCCTGTCCACGTACATGAGAGTCTTAAACCACTAGTACCTTTGCCCCCATGGGAAAACAGCGGGCCATGGGTGGGCCTCCGACCTTTTCGGAGGCCGAAACGAAACGACGGCCGCGGATCAGATTTATCAATGGCAGCCGTCGTCAAGCCCAACCTCCGAATGTTTAGGAGTTTCGAAAAACTGCCACTTTTCCCTATTTTCCCAACACTGGCGGAGGTACCACTTTTCCCTCCGCCAGTGTTGGGAAAATAGGGAAAAGTGGCAGTTTTTCGAAACTCCTAAAAATTCGGAGGTCGGGCTTGACGACGGCTGCCATTGATAAATCTGATCGGCGGCCGTCGTTTCGTTTCGGAGGCCCACCCAAGGCCAGCTGTTTTCCCTCGCGGCAAAGGTACTAGTGGTTTAAAGTGACAAACCGTGTATCTCCCCATTTTCCAGTGAAAGCTTCATTCCACAGGAGGACGAGCCGGAGGAGGGCTGGGATGACGAATGGGAGGAGGGGAGGATGAGGGGAGGATGAGGGGAAGGAAGATGACGGGGAGGAGGAGAGAAGGAGGGGAGGAGGGAAAGGAGGATGACGGGGAGGAGGAGGAACAGGAAAACAAAAAACATGGCCGTTTATCTCCCCATGTTCCAGCAGGAGATTCAGTCCATCTTGCACAGGAGGAGGAGTGGGAAGAGAAGGGGCGGGGTGACAAGCGGGAGGAGGGGAAGGAAGAGGACTGGGAAGACGGCTAATAGGAGTAGCGCCGTATGCAGGAAAGGCAAAATGATGTGGCCGTGCATCTCCCCATGTTCCAACAGAAGATCCATTTTCTATGGGAGAACGAGCTGGAGGAGGAGGGGCGGGATGGCAAGCGGAACAACCAGCACTTTATGAAAAAACGGTGAAAAGTCTGGTTACCAAGGGGTGTCTCCTGGTTGGCTACGACCTCTGCTTGCCCCCCCTCCCGCCCGTGATTTATTTGTGGTTCAACATCAACTGTTCGTCACCATTTTTGTTTCATATGCTTGCCGGGATAAGTAACCGGAGTGGTGCCCCCCCAGAATAGAAGGGGCTGTGTGGTGCTGTGTTAAAAAAAAAAAGTGAAAAAGGGGAAAGGAAAAAACATATAAAAGGGCCTTTACCCGATATAGGCCTCAGGCCTTGTAAAAATAGAGCAGCACGGGCCTTGTAAAAGTAAAGCATTGTGAAAAGGTATCTTGCCAGGGCTCAGAAACGTGAAAACAGGTCAAAAGTCAAGTTCTCTATCAACAGGCACATCTAAATCTAAGGCAAAGGGCATTGTCAAAAGACTTACCTGTTCACCAGGAGATGTGTATGTCATGTCTGTTCGAGTAAGGGTGTGTCTGTACGTGTAGGCAGTATACCTGTTCGTGCAATGGAAAGTGCCTGTTCAAGTAGTAAATGTGTCCGTTCGTTTAGAGTTGTGCCTGTCCGAAAGTGAAGTCAGTARGCACAGTCCCAGTTCTGGTCTAAGTCAAGGGGTCAGTCCAGATCCAGACTTTCAAGTCCAAATCCAGGCCGAAGTGCCTCAGCAGCAGTTGAATCTCATTGGGACTGTACCGGGACACCTGCAATGCAGGGTCTGGGACAAAGGGAGAGGCTGAATTGAGCCAATGCAGACCCAGCGAGGAGTGGCCAGCACTATAAAAAGAGCTGCCTGCCTCATTCTTCGCCAGATCTCCACTGGCTGCAATGCGTGGAAGTGCTGGTGCACTTGTGCGCTGAGTCAGGAGGAGCAGCGCTGGAGGAGAAGACGCGCTGGAGGGAGGAAGATGCCTGTACGCTGGAAGTGATGCAGCCATAGCTGCCCAGCGAGTTAGCATTAGTAGTAGAGGGTTAGTATGTAGCTATGAGTAGTATCCAGAGTTGATCCTCATGAGTATTGAAGAGTGTGTATGCATCATAGGAGGAAGGGATTGAGGCTGAGAGTGTTCATTCAAGGTTGGCTATGGAAGATACTTACCTGAGTTGGATGTGACCTGCAGAGGTGGCGCTGATGAGTGGTGGCCACATTGATGACTTGGAG